AGCATCCACACTTCACGGTTGGTGCATGTGGTTGCCACTGACACAGTCGCTGGCCGAAAAACTTGCACCGCCTTGTTCAACACCTCCACAATATCGTCGTAAATTGAAGCCACACACTCAAAGCTTGCGTAACTAAATCCATCCTCTGGCGTAACATGGATTGTTGAATAACGATCACCATCAATGCCATTCATTGAATACCCACAAGTATCAAATGCAAATTCACAAATTAGTGCATTAGGGTTGATGTCACATACACGGCTTGATTCCGACATCTCTTTTCCGACAGAATCTCCGGTTTTACCTGTTTTAATTTAACTTTAAACTTTTAAACAAGATGATTTTGTATAGTTCAAGAGAATGCAAAGAACCAGAATTCTACTCGGTTATAAAAGTTGTGCACGTGTCTAAACAAATGTGTTTTAGCTTGCACGTGAGATGACATCTTAATACTTATTTAAATAAGTAAATTTAGATGAGGTGATTCATCATTACCACTATTTGGACATCGGAAAAACTTCCGGGCCAGGACCTTATCCAGCCCAGTCATGCAAACTTCCAAAGTATAGAGCTGATCATCATATGGGCTCTTGTGCAGCACCATTTTAGACTGGTCACAAGCTGAAAATACATGCCATGAGTGAGAAGATAACTTTGAAGGCATCACAGAAGCCTTTCTACAGCAAAGATTTTCAGGCAAATTCTCTTCCAAATAAACAATTTCTTCTTCAAAACTTGTATGTGGATAAGGTTGTTCTTCAGGGAAAATGAAATTTCCTCTGGTATATCTGCATGCACAGATGTTAAGGTCCATTGAAGCAGCATGATGTAGCAATGGAGGGATGGATTTCAACAACTGGGTGGTCCCACATGTTTTGATAATGATCTTTGTAGGGTATACAAACAGGCTAGATTCAGATAAAACATAAGAATCAAAATACTGATTTCCAAGTGCTGATACTACTGTGCACTGCACTGCATGCAACACTTTCTCAAGAGACTGAAAATCCAGCTGCCGGAAACCTATCCCTATCGCCGGATCATCGTGGGAGAAGTTTAACTCAAGCCTCTTCTCAAATCCTTCGAATCCAGAAACAGCCATTGACGAAAGATGCAAATATTAAAGTTCACACTTCAAAGAAAAAGGAAAAAAAGAAAGTATTTCTTTTCGTTTAGCTACAGAAGTCTTAAGAATTCAAGAGAAAATCACGACAAAACGAGCCCTGATGGAAGTTGAGGTGCAATTACTGTTACAGAAGTGTGTGTATATATAGGAAGAGTATATGAGAAGGGGATAGGGCGGGGGCATGCTGCTGAATGCCACAAAAAATAATGATTATAGGCATAATGAATAGAAGATGATGGTCATTTTTGAGATCTATTTTTGGACAATAACATGAACCCTAATTCATGGCCACGCGCATCTTTCTTCCATTTTTCTTTACGGAAAATCATCATTTTCCTTTTCCATGAGCAGAAATTTTCTCCGTACATCATATATAAAATTAGGCAGTACAATGGCCAGTACAGTTACTGTTGATATCACATTATCTGAACACTAGCATATACATTAATTTATTTTAATTTTTTCTCAATACTTTTACGTGCATATCACACTATTTTTTACGTCAAAAGATAGACACTTGCACAACTAATGGTAAGGAGACATAATTTCAAGACTATTTATTTTATTATTATTTATTATTATTATTTTTTATGTTTTGAAATCAAATTAAATCATTTCATCTAAAATTTTAAAATTATTAAACATTAAAATATTTTATATAGGTATTGAATTGATTTATCTAAATACTAAAAATGATATAGATGGACGTGCACTAATGTGTGTGCAAATATTTTTATATGAAATGTGCGATAGATACATGACTTTTATAAATGAATGATAACGTGATTTGAACGGATCAAGATATTTACATGTTTATTCAATTAACTTCTTAAGATAATGATCCAATTTTTGAAGTTGTGACGTCATTTTATTATTATTATTTTCTGGCTCAAAAGGTATAGCACTAGCCTGTTCCATCTGGTGAGTGGTGTAGATGATGGACATTTTGAAAATAAAGTTCCATGCAAATCTAAAAGAATTAAGCAAATTAAAACAAACAGTTTATTTTACTTTTCCCTGACAAAATTATTTTTATCTGATTAATCGAATTGATTACATCTCAACAATCTGTTCATTATATTAACAAATTTATTTTGAAAAATAGATCAACTAATCTAAATTTTTATTTCGAACAGAAAAAAATTTTAATTTTGAACTTTATTCAATATGAAAGTATTTTAATGCGAAAATCAATATAAATACAAATTTGGTGGACAGACCTGGCTAGGTTGGCCAGTCATTTACATATTAGCTTAGAAAACTAGCTAGAGACATAATAATGAACTTAGATTCTTCAATACATGACTTCAATTATTAAAGCTCATTTTGTTTTATCGGTGGTCTCAAGTGAGTGGACAAAGTTATGTTCTATACATCATATATGTATAGGAGGAGAAAAGTTTAACCATATTTTGGGTAAACAATAAAAGGCACGATAGAATTTCTTCTTTAATGATATTTACTGCCATTCAATATGATTTACCATGCATGTTTAATTTTGTACTATTTATTCATGAAATATTGTACAAATTGAGCTTTCGAGGAAAAAATACTCAATTTGAACGTGGGGGACGTGCAAAAGATAGATTTAAATAAATGCATTTATCCTTTATATAAGGGTTTAAAATTAATGATGAAGTTCATATGATCAATAAACTAGTCGAATGTTCTAAATTAAAATTTTAAATATTGAACTAGCTAGCTATATCCAAAATGTAAAGA